CCCGCCCCCCGCCCGGTCTCCTGGCAGATCGCCAAGGGCCTCTTCCAGCTCCATGCCTCGAGCACCATGCACCGGGATCTGAAGCTGGCCAACATTCTGCTGGCGGACCCGGTGGACCCGGCCCAGCCGAGCCCGGCCCCGCGCGTGGTACGCCTGGCCGCACCCCTTCTCCTCGTCCGGCCCGCCAGCCATGCCCACGCGCGCCTGGCCGCTTGACTAACCGCGTGGCGGCAGAAAATCGCGGACTTCGGCCTGGCCGCCCGCCTGGGATCGGACCCGCTCGGCTCGACGCACAGCCCGGTGCGCGGCGTCCCGGTGCCCGGGGACCCCCGGTGGGCGTGGGACCCGCTGGGCACCCCGAGCGGGCGTCTGGCCGCCCCGGCCAGTGTGTATGCCCTGTCACCGGGCGGCGTCACCGAGCAGCGGACCGTCTGCGGGACTCCCAACTACCTGTCGCCGTGCGTGCTGCTGTCCCTCTTTGACCGGGGGGGGGGGTGGGGGCGTGCAGGCCCCTGGTGCCCCCCCCCCCCCCCCCGTTTCTTTCCCCGCTCTCGGCCCCTGGGTGTGGGCCACTTTCCCTTTCTTTTTGGCGCCCTTCGCCTTCCTCTCTCGTCCCGCTTCTTCACATGCACGACGCTGACCCCCCCCCCTCCCCCCCGGGAACCGACCGTAGGGAGATCGTCGACCAGCGGCCGTACAGCCTGCCGGCCGATGTCTGGGCACTCGGCTGCATCTTGTACCACCTGTGCGTTGGGCATGCGCCGTTTGAGCGGCCACGCGGCGGCCTGGGCGCATCCGCGGGCACGGGCTCCGGCGGGGGGCATGGCACGGCCGGCCGGCCGGCCGGCGACATGGTCGGCACCTTCCGGCGCATCTCCGACGGGAACTACGCCCGCCTGGACCCGACGCGCTTCAGCTTGGAAGCGTGCGACTTGCTGGACTCGATGCTGGACATGGTGCGTCTTTGGAGGGTGTCTCCGCTCTGGGGCCGGTGTTTGCGCGCGGTGACTGACCCTCATGTGGCATCGGCCGCGCTGCCTGTGGCAGGTCCCCACACGGCGGCCCTCTGCCGGGGAGGTTTGCTCGCATCCCTTTGTCCAGCGGTCGCTCGAGCCGGCCACCGACGACTATGTCCCCCCGGCGCCGGAGCTCCTGAACACCATGGCCCCGTCGCACTATGCGCCGGCCTATGCGCCGGCCTATGCGTCGCCGCCGTCCCAGCAGCAGCCGCAGCCGCAGCCGCAGCCGCAGCAGCAGCAGCCGGCGTACGCGTACCCGGCGCTGGAGGCCTGGCCGGCGACCGGCGCGCGGCCCTCCCCCTCGCCGCCGGACCCGCTGCCGGACGAGGAAGACCCACTGAACATCGACCTCACCGGGCTGCCCCTCGGGCGGCGGTACTTCACGGCCTCGGTCCCACGCCGGGGGCTCCCGATGGGGGGAGGCCCGGCCGGGCCCGGCGGCGGGACTGGCGGCAATCCCGGCCCCGGCAACACCAACAGCAATGGCTACGTGGACATCGTGGCGCACGCGTCCTCGGTCACCGGGTCCGTGGCGTGGCTCTTCGTGCCGGGGGACAATTTTGTGGTGTGCTTCGAGCCGCCACCGCGAGCGGTGGCCCCGCTGCTCCCCTCGGCCCCGGGCGCGACCGATGGCATTTCACCGAAGCAGCTCCGCGAGTTGACCCTCGTGCACTTTGTCCTGCGGCCGGAGGCGGCCGCGTCGACGGCCCCGGCCACCCGGGGCACCGGCCTGGAGGATGGCCGGCGAGCCATCTACACCCTGCCGGCGGTGCCGAAGCGGCTGATGCGCCGGCTGGCGGTGCTGGCGCGGGTGCTGCGCGTGTTGCGCCGGGCCCAGGCGGCGGAGGCGGCCGCTGGCGCTGGCGCCGGCGCTGCCACGGCCCCGGGCCCCCCCGGGTCCGGGGCCGCGGATCCCATGCTGTGCTTCGTGCCCGGGGTCGGGTGGCTGGTGGCCGATGGCAGCCCGCCAACGCGCGGGCCGCACGGGCTCCTGTCACAAACCCTCCGACTGCTGGAGGTCAGCGGCCAGCGCCTGGCGGCGCATGCATCCGTCCCGGAGGAGTCCCTGGTCCTGCGGGACTCCGGCCTGCAGGTGGACCCGTCGGCCGTGCGGGTCTTCCTCCGGTCTGACAGCACCCAGTGGACGCCGGCCTGTGGGCAGGTCCATGCGGCGGTGGCCCGGCTGATTAGCGAGGGCCGGCTGCTGCCGCGGCGGCTGCCGGCGCCCGGGCCCCATGGGAGAGGCCCTGGCCGGTGAGGCACATGGGGCCCCGGCTGGTGGGTCGGTGGGTCGGTCGGCCGGTCGGTCGGTGGGTCGGTCGGCCGGCCGGCCGGCAGGCCCCCCGGGACAATACAGCGCCGGTGTGCCCGGTCGTTTGGAAGGCAGCAAAGAGTATCTATTGGGCAGATTGTGGAGGAGGGGGGGGGGGGGGGGAGGGGATGCACACGGGGCCCGCGGATCAGGCTCGTGACTGCTGGGAGTGGCGGTGGTGCAGGGAGGTGGAAGACTGGGCGTGCGGGGCAACGGCCGAGGCGGTGAGCACCAGGCTCGGGTCCGATGTGTCAGGCGAGTCTCCCTCGGCGGAGCGCCGAACGCCGCCATGCCCCGGGGCAGGATCGCCGGGAGTCACGGCGGCGGCGGCGGCGGCGGCGGTCAGGCCGGCCGAGAGCTCGGCCACCGCGGCTCCGGCCCCGAGGGCAATGGGGTCCGGCGGGCCGGCCGGTGGCCCGGGTCGCCGGCGGAACACCGTCCGCGGGATGTTCTCCAGGTACGGGAAGGGCTGGCTGAAGGCATAGGAGGCGGAGTCCGACCGGAGGAGCGACTGTGCCAGGTGGTGGCTGTCGACCGGGTCATGGGAGTCGGCCAAATCGCCGCCGGGCGCGGGGTGACCCTCGAGGCCGGGCCCGGCGGCCGGGCGCGCGTACGGGCTCGTGGACTCCAGCTCGGGGAACACATGCCCGAGGATGACATCCAGCAGGAGGAACAGGATGTTCCGGTTGCGCCGGGGGTGGGAAATGACCGCCAGGATGAGGTCGCGCGTTTCCGCCGCCGCCTCGGCATCCAGGACCTTGGCGAGGGGCTCTGCGAGGGGGCACGGCCGGCCGCGGGCAGTGGGGGAGGGCATGGGGCGGAAGCGCGGCCGGAGTCAGCACGGGCATCAAGGGGAGGGGGGGGGGGCGGGGGCGGGGGGGGCGGGGGGGCGGAAGGCAAAGCACGCACCCAGCAGATTGTCCAGCTCCTCGGACAGGCGCCGGTGCCAGAACCGGGTGACCCGGTGGCGGAGGGCGTCCTCCTCCGGCAGGTGGCGGAATTCCCCGTCATCCGGCGGGAGGTACGAGTAGTCGACCGGGTCGGAGCCGCGCCAGCGCCCGGCCGGGGTCCACAGGGTGTCACGCAGCAGCCACGTATAGTAGGCCAGGCGGGACTCGGTCAGCAGCCAGCCCCGGGCGAAGGTGGTCAGCCCCCGGCGGACGAGGGTGTTCAGCCCGAAGACGTCCAACGTCGGCCGGACCACCAGGTGGAAGAGCCACAGCATCCAGGAGTGCCGGCCCGAGTGCGACAGGCCGAGGATCGAATCGGCCAGATTGACGAGGGTGGCAAACTCGCCGGCCACCGCCGGGGCATCCGGGTCGGCCGGGTCGTCCACCCGGCCGGGGGTGGCCGCGGGCCCGGGCCCGGGCTCGGGGCCGGCGGCACCGCCGCTGCCAGGCCGGCGGAAGAAGGGGGCCACCCGGGCCAGCAGGCCGGTGTAGTGGTCCACCAGGGAGGAGATGCTCAGCGACCCGGCCGGCAGCAGGGAGAAGGTGGACTTTTGCTTGCGCTCGGCCATGGCGGCCGACCGGGCCCGGAGGGTCCGGGCCTCCTGGTCGCGCCAGCACTGGAGGAGGATGGCCAGGGGGGACCCCTCGACCGGGGTGTCGGTCGGGGTCCGGCCCTCGGTGCGCTCGGGCCGGATGAAGGGCCGGGCAAAGTCACTGCCAGGGACACTGGCGATGAGCCCGGTGACAAAGAGCTCCATCAGCATTTCCGGCTGGCTGAGCTTGTGCAGCAGGGGGGTGACAATGCGCGAGGCCAGCACCTCGCGCATCAGAAGCACCACCAGGTCGAAGCCCGGGTCGGCCTGGCGCCGGGGCTCGTCATGGGGGGAGTCGGCCGGGCCCGGGCCCGGGCCCGGGCCCGGCCCGGGGGCCCCCCGGCCGGGGCCGGTGTCGCCGGCGCCCGGGCCACCGGCGGCACCGAGCCCCGAGGCCCCGGCCCCATGGGCCAGGTCCTCCACCAGGACCCGGCGGAAGTCCGGGTTCATGGAGGAGCTGGACAGCAGGTGGAACACCAGCCAGTGGCACAGCTGGCGAATGTACTCCTCCTCGCTGGCCTGGGCGTCGTGCATGGCGAAGTGCATGTGCTCGCCGCCGGCATCCGAGTGCCCGAAGGGCGACTTGTGCCCGTGGGTAAAGTGGTCGAAGACGGTTTGCGGCACACTGGGCAGGGCGGGCGCATCGTCGGACCCGGCGGCCAGGACGCTGCGCGCGTCGCGGCCCCCGGCCCAGGAGGTGCCCATGGGCGGCCAGGCGTCCGGGGCCCCGGTGGCGGGACCGCCGGACCCGGGGCCCGCCGGCCGGGGGACCGCCGCCGGGGAGAACCCCTGGGCGGCGGCCGCGCGGAAGACGCCGGCCCGGCCGCAGGCCGCCCGGAAGTGCGACACATGCTGCGTCACGGTCACCGACAGATCCTGGATCAGGGACGACAGGTCCAGGCGCTCCAGGCGTTGGCACAGCCCGCGCAGGAGCCGCACCACCAGCGTCCGGATTTCGATGCCGAACTCCAGGTCCGCGCTGATGGACCCCCACCAGCCCTCGACATACTCGAAGAGGATCAGCTCGATCAGGGCATCCAGCTCGATGTCGATTTCCCGCAGGCCGGAGATGACCGCCACCCGGCCCTCGGCCCGGTGGGGATGGCCAATGCTCAGGAGCATGTTGGCCCGGTGGCAGCCGCCCCCGGGGACCGGATGCTCGCAGTGCGGGCTGTCCGGCCGGCAGGCACACGTGTCGGCCGGCAGGGCCGACGCATGCGCCGGCCAGTAGGTGATCGGCGCCAGGGGGTCATTCCAGGCCGGCTGGCTGGTGGCAGGGCCGCCGGCCGGGGAGGCGCCCATGGCCGGGGGCGGGGCCAGCCCCGGGGCCTGGGGCAAGCCCGGGCCGGGGGGCCCGGCCAGCGCCTCCGCCGACCGGGCAGGAGTGCCGGCAGGGGCTGCGGCTCCGGGGATGGCCGCCGGGCTGCCGGCGCGCTGCCCTGGCAAAAGCTCCAGATACACGACCAGCGCACCGCCGCTGACACCGAGCACCAGCATGTGAAGGCAGACATGCAGGATGGTCTGGCGCAGGGCAGGGCAGGGCAGGGCAGGGCAGGGCAGGGCAGGCGGCGGCGGCGGCGG